GGGAGGGAGGAGGGAGGGAAGGAGGGGGGAGGGGGAGGGGGGGAGGAGTAACTAAGAGGAGTCAGATCAGTGGCTCCTGGCTATGGCAATGTTGAACAGATTTACAGTGCATATAAACTACTGATGGAGGTATTTCTTTCTCTCTATTAACAAATTTGAAGGCTTTTCCTTACCCTTGGTTTCTTTTTTATTAAACTGTCCACCTTTTTTCACATGGTTTGTAAGGTGTTACAGCATTTTTATTTTTTTGTCACACCTAAAGCCACCCTTAAGGATTCCCTGCCCACACCCGGGGCTGAGGCTCTCTGGCAGGAAGCATTGGCCTCTTCTGTGGTGTGGATGCTTCTTCTGTGAATCTCCTCATGTGATGAAGGTCATGTCCCTGAACATGGAGTTAAGAGATGCCTGCAAATGGCTTCCTGCCTGGTACACACTAGCTCAAGTGACCGGTTCTCTGTAGCTCAGTTAACCTTCCCTGGATCTGAACTCAGCTAACTGTCCCTGGACCCTGGACCTTAGCTCAGCTGACCTCCTCCAAAAGTCCTCAGGACACTCCATCTGCCCACAGCTGGTGACCTCAGCTAAGGCAAGGCCTACTTTATTACCAAGTGTTGAACATTTCATGGAACTGGATACTGCGCTAAAAATGAAACAGAAGAGTTGGCGGGTGAAATTTTGTACCACTCTAAAGCTAAACTATTATCAATTGAAACTCTTTGATTATAGGCTGCATATACATGCATGCATTCATGCATACATACACATATGCATAATGTGTTTGCTTCCCCACAGCAGGACAGGAATTTGAGCTTGTCTCCCAATGTCTGGAAGAGTGCCTGGTACTTAGCAGTTACACAGTGACTTTTGTTGAGCGAAGGAGCGAGTAATAAACAAGAGGGTTTTTTTCCTACTGTTTCTCTCCCCTCTGCCAATGAGGAGCAAAGTGAATTCTGGGGTTGTACCTCATACTGCAGTTAGCTTTGTCTTAATTCTCACAGAATACCTAGAATGTGAGTGGGAGAAAAAAAAAATGGCAGGAAAAAAGCGACCCACTTTCCCCCCCTCACTTGGAATGGTTCTTATGGGTTCATGCACACTTTTTGTTTTGTTCTTGGATTAAGAAATGCCAGACACTCCTTTGGGAACTTGAACAGCACAGACGACTGGTGGGACTGGACTCTGAGCATGTTGCTGGACGGGCTGCACCCAGAAGGACCCTCTGCTGGAGCCCTGGGGGCTCAGGTGGGCATGCGTTCATTTCCTGTCTAATGGAAGCCATACGGCAGTAAGGGGGACTACAAGGCAGTGAAGGGTCTGCTCATTGGCACCATGGCAAAGAAACCTGTCTGTCTCCTTGCCTGGAGTCTGTGTTCTTCCCCCATGTCGGCCTCCTAAGCTATTCACATCCCCAGTCAACGTTTGCCAGTCCAAGCCGGACCCTGGCACTTTAACAGAGGTTCAGGGCGAGACTAAAGAAGAAGCTAACTTACTGCCTGCATGGCAAGGGCTCAGGAGTCCCCAGAGCAGAAGAGGAGCCCATGGCTAAGGCAGCAGCATCAGGGAAGCTTCCAGACAGGGAGCAAGGCTGCTCCTGCGTTTGTGCTGTCCTGTCCCTCATTCATAGTTTACTTTCTCCCGTTTTTGAAAAATATAAGGTCTTTGTCTTGCATTCCTCAAACATTTTGTCCTTCGTTTCATTTTCTTGTATTCCAAAAACGTCGTGGAGATGCCTGGGGTCGTTTGCATGGTGTGTGGGGGGGGGGGGGACTCCAAGAGGAAGGCATTTGAATGCTTTCTTTATCTGGAGGATGCTGAGGAGAGGGTGCCGATTGCATCTGCAGAAGGCTGGTTCCTGGAATGTCGTTGCATCCTCAGAATTGCAGGAGAGTAAACTTCTGATTCTGCAGATGCGGTGACCTGGGCTTCCGCAGCCTTGTCAGTGATTCCGTACTGCAACCATTGAAGTGCACAACATTCTTATACTCTGAGTCTCCCCCTGTTTCAGCCTGCAGCTCTCGGAGGGCAGTGCCACCTCATAGGCCCTGCGGTGATCAGGCAGCTCATGGTTTCTTCTGGTACTGCATGCACGGTAAGTGCACTGGGAGACTCGGGGTTGGCACATCAGTTAAGCTCCCCAGACAACTGGGAGGCAGTGTGAGAGTTCCAGGTGCCAGGGCCATCCTTCCTTCTGCCCTTTCCAAGAGCCCTCTTGTACCCTCTGCTTTCTTCCCCAGAAGGCTTCTCTTCACTTCTAGAGTTGCCACGCTAGGCAAAAGAAGGCTTTTTTTTTTTTTTCTAAAACTGAAACTAAAATATTCTTGCATTATTTTCTGATGAAGAAGGGTACTCAGAGACATCATCACTACGTAAGGCAATGTTTTGCAGATTGGCCAGCCCCACATAAATGCAGCCTTCAGCAGGCATAGCCCTGATCCTTCTAGCTTGAGACGAAGCTGAGATCAACAAGTAGGCTTGAGACTTGTCCTCGAGAGTAGCAGGGTCCCTGGCCACAGAGCCTCTGCTGTACTTTGTGTGACGGAGCTTGGGAGCCCCACAATGTTGATGGACTTAGAAACAGGGATCAGTCAGGGTTACTTGATGGGCAGTTTGTGCTCTAGCCTCCCAGGCCAGTCTCAGAACCCACGGAAGATGTACCACCTACGCTGAATCACAACCTTGACCTTGAGAACCTAAAAGTGACCCCTAGTAGTCCTGAGGCCTGTGGGGCGATGAAGAAGATCTCCGTGTACAGCCTAGGAAGAACAAGGTGAGAGAGACTCAAGAAGATGCTCCTGGGCCCCATGTTGCTTGCTGAGGCATTTCTGCTGCAGCTCGGCTTCTGGGCAGGCAGGGAAAGGGCCAGCGCTGCTCAGTTCTGAGCAGTGTTCTGCTTGGGAACAATGGTGTGGAAGAACTCAGACTCTGGTGTTCAGACCCAAGTTCATGGAAGACGACAGAGTGGGACATTTTTTAAAAGTGGCTGCCAGAGCCTGCGGAGTCTTGGAGTCAGGTGAATCTTTGTCCTTTGCTCACTGTGTGACAAGTGGGGTGCTCACTTGGTCTGGATTATTCCCCCCCCCAACTCCTAGAAGATCACAGACACTGCCTTGAGCTGCACTGGAGCAAATAAGGAATGGGTATTCCAGTTTGTATGGATACAGCACACATACACTATGCTTCCTGATGCTCAGCCTACAGTCAGGTGCCCTGCCTGTTCCGCAGGATACCCTAGGCCCACAGCCTTCACCACAGAATGGGGCTTTGCATAGGAAATCTGTGCTGTCAGAGTAGTGTGCCCGGAGGAATATAAATTAGTACAGTGTGGTTACTTTCTGTCCACGCAGTCCACGGTGAAGAGAAGGAGGTGACTATTTGCCAGCCCTTAGGGAGGGCAGCTGGGCTTCTTTCCCTCACGGGGCACAGGTGAGGGTGGACACCATCTTTTGGCTGCAGCTGCAGCTTTCCTGCAGGGACAAGGAGGGAAAGAGGGACAGTGGGCTCCTGGTGGGGACCCTAGCTCCCAAAAGAACTGTCTGTGCGGTAATCAGAAGCCTGGAGATCATCTGTCCCCGTGAAGGCTTGCATTGGGTATATTGGGCACCGTGCCACAGTGGGATTTTCCCTGGGCTCCTGAGTCTTGTTTTCTGCCCTCCCTCTGAACCTGAGCTGTTTTCCAGGCATGAAGTCGACGTAGCCCTGACTGCCCTCAGGACCAGCAGGTGGGTGGACCACTGCACCAGGGCCGTGTCTGTGCACTTCACTCTCTACAACCCTCCCACGCAACTCTTCACCAGTGTGACCCTAGGTGCAGAGCTTCTCCCCACGGGAGGTCTTGTCCCCTCATCCCTGGTCGAGTCAATCAGCATCTACGGTGACTCAGCCCCACGCTACCTTCTTGTGCTTTCTGAGGTGAGTCCACCTGCCCTGGGCCTCCTGGGTAGGCACAGAGAGCTGGGGCTTCACATGGCTAAATGCCTCTGCAAGCTGAATACCTCTACCGCCATGAAGCTAGGGCCTTTCCAATGACCCACCCACACAATTATTATTAGCTCCCTTCCATGTAGTATGAATCATAGAATAAGTGTTGGGACTAATTATAAAGAACATCCCCAACGGGGAAACCAACCACAACATACAAAATGAGAACAAATATTCAACTGCCTTGAGGTACTAAATTCAACATGGAGTCTTTTTTTTTTCCCCCTGAGACAGTGTTTCTCTGTAGCTTTGGAGCCTGTCCTGGAACTAGCTCTCGTAGACCAGGTTGGCCTCGAGCTCACAGAGATCCGCCCGTCTCTGCCTCCCAAGTGCTGAGATTAAAGGCGTGCACCACCACCGCCCAGCTTCGACGTGGAGTCTTAGTCAGCCTCAGCTACCGTAACAAAATGCCGTCATCCATCACTGTTCAACATTTAACTTTCTACAGTCAACCATGATCTGAAAATATGTAGTGGAATATTCCAGAATAAAATGATGTTTACATTTTTAAAATCAACCTTATAGTTATATTATGGTATAATTGAAGAATGTTGTTATTATTTTTTATTGCTGTTAATCAGTTACTATGCCAGATTTAAAAATTAAAGTTTACCATAGCTAGCTATGTATTTATAAAAACGTTCCAGTATTAATGGGGTTTGTCACTACTGAAATTTCAGACAGCCACTGGGGACTGCCACGTATCCCTGTCAGGTGAATAAGACTACTTACTGTTCAATGCCTGGGTGGCTTAACTAATAGACCTCTATTTAAGAAAGATCTGGCAGCTACAACCCCAAGATGAAGCAGCTGGGAGTGCTGGGCTGTAGTGAAGACCCTCCTTGGTGGGGGGATGCTGTCTTCTCGCCGTGTCACGCAGCCTGGCTCCATCTCTGCACCAGTGAATAAAGAGAAAGTTTGTGTGCTCTGGGCATCAATGTGTATATAGACCCCAATATTATAGAAACAGGGCCCCACCTCATGCCTGCACTTGGCGTTAACTTCTTCTATTGAGGCCTGCCTCCAAAGAGAGATATTATGGGGTTTGGAGCTCCAAAAAATTGATTTGGGGATATCTGCCCCCCCAAGGTCCATAGTGCCAGGAGTCAGTGGCTCACATTGCTTCACTGAACAGCCACAAGCCTCAGCAGCCACCCACAAAGACACGGCACCCATAGCTCCCAAAGACAATGGGAAAAGCCCCTGCTGATGGGTTTCAGTTTCCTGCAAACTGGTGAATAAATGGCAGGCTGGCATGATGAGCTGGTGGTAGCTGTGGACACCCCTATGTCTTATTCCTATGCCTCAGGGTCAATAGCACATCCTAATGCTGCACATGGAATTGGGTCTCTGGGACCGCTTGGTGTGAAGGGATAGCGAGCTGCCCAGGTGCCTACTGAAGGCTAGTTTGTTATCAAATGCTGCCAAGAGGGAGAGGCTTGTACCATGTCCACGGAAGCAGACCTTGAAAAAACTACTTAGCTAACCCTTCGTTTGTCTCACTTATTTCCGGCCCCTCCCAGCTGGTGTTCCTAGTCCTCAACGTGACCCACCTCTGTTTCCAGCTCTGGGGAATGACCACCAAGGGCGTCCTCAGCTACTGGAGGAAACCAAGACACTGGCTGGAGGTAACCTCTCTGATGTCGTCTTCTTTATGTAGAATAGTGACACAAAAGTATTTTCATCGGAAAGGGAAAATATTTTTATCAGAAAGTCTTATAGATACTATTCCCAGTATCACTGTAGTTCCTCTGAGAGGCAGAATAGCATTTGAAATCAGGTTCTCTTGGTGTCTGGTGGTATTGGTGGTAGTGGTGCATGTATATATATGTGTGTGTGTGTGTGTGTGTGTGTGTGTGTGTGTGTGTGTATCATGTTCATGTGTGTTTGGGTACATAAACATGTGGAGGCCAGCCCTGAGTGTCATTTCTCATATACCATCAATCTCTCTTTTTAAGACAATGTCTCTAACTGGCCTGGAAATTATCAAATGGATGAGGCATGCTAGCTGGAGAGCCCCAGGAATCCACCTATCTCTGTCTCCCCCACACAGGGAGTCCAAGCATGTGCAATGACAGGCATTTTTACACTGGCTCTGGACATTGCATTCACGTCCTCATGCATCCACTTCACCCTCTGAGTTATCTCCTTAACCACTGACTAAATGTTTGACAGGCAGCTTGTCACCAGAGGGTCAGGGATGCCAACTGTGTCCTCCCTCAGCTGACTAACCGACCTTTCTCCCCTGTGTTGCAGCTCTCTACGGTTGGGGTAGCCCTGGCCTACCATGCAGCCTCTGGTCACCTCACTAGCCTTGCCGAGAATGTCACTGACCAGTTCCACAAAGGACTTCACCAGATGTTTGTGGACCTAAGTCTGATGATGTCATGGAATCAGGTATGCTAGGGGTCTCAAGGCTACCCAAAAGAAGCCATAACTGATGTTGCTCAGTGACATCTGTCACACAAGGACAGGACTAGAAGGTTCAGTGTGATGATTTGTCCTGTTGAAGGATAATGCTGTGAGCTCATAGATGGTGGCACTTGAAGCACTGAGGGAGTTGGAAAATTCCACGTGTGCCCACTAGCTGGGCATCCATGCACACTATGTGGAGCAGAACTCAAGAGCCAGGGATGCCAATGGACTTGCAGCAGCGTGGGGAAGCAGGTGTCAGTCAGCATAGTCTACAGTAAGGAGGCTGGCACTAACATGCTTAGACATCATGCCTGTCTTCCCTTCCATCTGGCCATGGTCTTAAATGCAGGGATTTTCAATAAGACATAAGCCTGAGACTCGGAGACAGACTTGAGGTCATGAAAAAGAGAAACATTACCTCTAAGTCCTTCTATCTCTGTTCTCCAGGCTTCTGACTGTAGAATGGGACCTCTACCAAGAGGACCAGGTGGAATATCCAGGATAGGTCTCATAAGCCCCTGGGAGACCAGGGAATCCTATCATAAGCAGGTGGGCTCCCTGGAGGTCCACTGCCTCATGCCACAGAGGGTATATGCATACTGAATCTGTATTCCCATCTGCTGTAGCCACAGCAAACACCTCTACCTACCCACAGATTCTTTTTTTCCTCTGATAATTTTTTATTACTTTATAAATCAAAATTTCCACTTCCTCCCCTCCTCCCACTTCCCTCTTGCTCTGCCATTCCCCCTTCCCCTCCAGTCCTAAGAGAAGGCAGGGTATTTTGCCCTGTACCCACAGATTCTCTAAGTCTCTTTTCTACCTGCCTTGAGGGCTGTCAATGCCCCAGGGTTATCCTGTACCTAGAGTACCTTCATACCCTGGACAAGATGCTCCCAGAACAACCTGAAAAGAGGGGGGACTGGTTCCCCTCTAACCTCAGTGCTCCCTGTTCCACCTTCTCTCTATAACTTCCCTTTGGCTCTTCTTAGATGTACCCTGGGGCCAGCTTTCTTTTCTGCTGAGTTAGAGAGCCTTAGAGGGCACAAGGATGGCAGTTGTCCTCCACCACAGCTCTAATCTTTCTTTCCTGGATAAGTGGTACCACTGTTGTCTCTGTCTTTCCAGAGGGTATATCAACCTCCACCCATCTTCTTGTCTCTGTTTTCTCACCATCTATACTCTGGGCAAATTGTGGAGCAGAAACACAGAGTGTTCCCGAGACAATTGCTACAGCTAGGGAAACTGAGACCCAAATGATGTCGGGACCTTCCTATAACCAGAGTGACCCAGCTGTGGAAGAACCAGAGACTCATCAGCCTGGGGGCAGTGTCTTGAAGGATCCCAAGCAGAGGACAGTCTGAGTTTCTTCCTGGAGGACAATCATCTTCCTTTAGTAGATGTCACTAGACCTGCGACTTTATAAGTTAGTCCTCAGCCCTCCGGGGCTAAGAAGAGAGCCCTTGCATGAGGGAAACCCTGAAGCTGTACTTCCTACTCCTGAGTGTTGAGCTCCACGGGCACTTATGAGTCTCAAGGTTAGGCATAAACGAAGTAGACATCATCTTTGCATCAGAGCATCTGGCACTTCCTTACTGAGCCTGTCTCCTCCGTTCCTGCTCACCACCCATGGTGCTGTTAAACACATGCTTTGTGCACATTGCTGATCCCAGCGGGGACTTGTTGCATGGAGGGCACCATAGGCCATTTCTGTGCCAAATATCAGGAGGATTCCAGACACTTCTGCACTTCGAAATATAATTGCTACAACTTGTAGGAGTCTTGTATGCCAGTCACAGAAGTCAGGAAAATCATCTTTTTTATCCACACAGGTGGTAAGCTCTGTAAGACAGAAAGGTCTTAAGACCCGTTATCCTTGTACCTCATGGATCCTTCAGCATGTAGAACACCGGGACGCTGCTCTCCAAGTCCTCCCAGCTGTGGGCAATGAACACCTCAGGCGATTCCAAGGACTTTCTGTTTGTTTTGTTCTTTGCCTTAGTTATTTTGAGAAATATGAGCAGTTAAAGAAGACCTGGGTCAGTCATAGCCACTCCAGGACCTTCTTGCAAGCATTTAGCATCTACCGAGATGTGTGTGTTGCTGTATGACTTGGTTGTCTCATATACCAAGAGGCCCGAAGCTCTAAAAAGGAAGTTTATCAGCTTGTTCACTACTGTTCCCCAGACAGATGATGACTCTCGGTTCCACTGTTGGCCTCACTGTCTCATCGTTGCTAGGCCTTCTGGTCTACCTTTCCCGTGTGTCTGTATTTGTCTCCACATTTTCTACCAGGGGGGCTCAACTCACTTTCTGTCTCTTCTACCCAACAACCACAGCTATGCATCAGTCTGGATTCCAACTCCATCCTAGCCAAAGTTCCTTTCCTGAGACACTTTGCAGGACGCTCTTCTCACTGGAGTGTAGTGAGGAGAAACAGGAGTCTGTCAGGACATTCTCAGTGAGCACTGGTTCCCCCAAATGGGTTCACCTTTCACACCCTTTTTCTCCAGCGTGCTGTCTTTCTGGTCATGTTTACTGTCTCCAGAATCTTGCCTGGAATGAGTCCCTCTTCCCTGGGGATTCTATTGTAGCCCGGTGTCAATCTCTGGGCCTTCCCTTAGCTCTTGAGTAAGAGCTGACCTGGTCAAGCCTCATCCTGCCCCACACTCGCATCGGCCGTCTGCCCCTGCATCATCTGTGCCATCATTAGAAAGTTATCTATTTTCACCAGCCAGTGCCTGGGGTACAGCTCAAGCTGCTCAGAGCTAAGTGCTTCCAACTCTCCTCTCCACAGGGCTTAGCTTGACAAACTGGAAAAGAGTTTAGAAATTTGGTATGCAAATTTTTCCATTTTACTCTGAATATAATATTATTTTTCATAGGTTGATCTAAATAAAACACTAAGTAAATTTCTAAACTTACTATCACATGTTAAATTGCAGCTACCAGGAAATTTGCAGTCCTGCCCATAGCTCACATTGTGTTTCACCTACCCAGTGGGGGTTACAGTGTCAACCAACTCCACTTTTTCCCAAGCACAGCCATGTCTTACAGTCTTGAAGGAACCACAGGCATGCCAAGCGTACATCACACAACCATCCAAGCATCAGGTGATGTGCTATCTAGTGAAACAGGTAATGGTGTCCCATCCACACCACAAATGGCACCACCCGTACCCTAAGAAGGTGAGCAGCACACTGAAGCAGTGGAAATGGCTTCTGGTCCTGTAGCTAGTTACCTGAGACGAGAACTGTGATGTAAGAATGGGAGGCATTCAGAGCACGCTGTCACTGTCTGGTCCAGATTGCCTTGCAGCTGCACCTATGGCCTCAGCCTCGGCTTTTCTTTAACCCTACGAGTAAGCATCCTCAAATTTTTAAATATGGTAAGACCATGGTACATACAACACTTAAGAGGTTTTTGAGGGCGAGAAAGAGGAAGACTATACACACATAGCCCTCTTGGCACATGATAGGCATCCTATAAATAAATATGATAAAGAAAACAGTTAAGGAGGCTTCCTGGTGTCCTTTCAATCAGATATAGGCAAAAAAGGGGGCCATGGAGAGGTCATAGCTGTCTCTCTCTACTGTCATGGCCCCTGACCCCTGAGCGCATAGAGAATGAAGTGTGGTCGGCTCAAATTGAGATGTTTGTTGAATCTTATAAATTTAACGTGCAAACATTTCCATTTGTGCGGGATGCATGTATTATTTTACATGCGTCAGTCTAAATAAAATGCAAAGTCAGTCTCTGCATTCATTTCCTCCTGTTAAACTGCAGCTACCAGAAAAGGTGCAGTTCTGTGCACGCCCCCGCTTTGTAGCTCTCCTAGCCAGTACGGGCTGTGGTGTCAGCCGTCCCTGGTTCTCTGTGTCCTGCTGATTCGAAGGGGCCACAGGTGTGCCAGCCCCTCACAACTTCCCTGGGCCTCTGTTGTCATTTCCCAAACAACCTGAAAACCTTGATCCCTTGCCTACATGGAGTTCTAGCGTTTGGCATTCATTTCTTTCTCTTGGGGGAGAGAGACACATGTGCCTAAAGGCCTTTCGCAGCGAGCTTTCAGCAGGGGTTATGGGTACCTGTGCTGCATCTGGACTCTGAGCGTGCCCCTGGGTCACCCTGCTGTGTGTCTTTTGTCCCATCACTGTGTTTGTTTGAGCCATAGACTTCAAAGCTATAATGTGGGAACCGTCCTAGCTATCACGGGACTCAATTTTCAGTATCTTCAAGGCAAGCACTGGTAAAGTGTTGTATGATGAGGGAGACACACCCTGTCACTGCTGCGACAGTCATTTCCTTACTGAGCATGGTGTACTGAGGCTCAGAGGGGAACAGCCAGACCAAATCCGCTGTCTCTACCAGCCTGGCTTCCTGAAGATGCCTTGCAATGTGCTCTGACTCCTGCTTCTGACTTGTGCTCCTCTGCAAACACTGACGCTTGGTGTCCCTGAGAGACCTGGTGTCCCTGGGAGACCTGTGGTCTAAACAACTCCTTAAATGGACTTGTGTTTCAGCACAGCTCACAGGTGTGTGCCCGTGTCTGCATCTCCTTATTGTCCTTGGCAGGACACACTGACCTGCTGTGTTCTTCCCTTAGAGGGTAAGATGGCTCCGGGGAAGCCTGCTGTTCCTCTGGATGTTGAAATGTGCTCACCTCCTCGGCCTCCTAAGCAGCAGGGCAGCCTTCGCCGCAGTGATGCGTTCGTCTCTCTCCAGAGCCCTGGCACCCGCAGTAAGAATTCTCTCCCCTTCTCCAGCGATTTCCTTAGTCAGCCAGCGCATTGGTTCACCCTAGGCAGAGAAGAGTAAACTTCTCACAGGGTGGCACACTATCCAGAATTCTAGCCACCTGACCCATTACGGTGGAGTTTAGATAAGGGGTATCAGTATTATAAGTTGCATTTGTGACAGCAATAGTCAAGATTTATTAAACAATGGCTTTGTGCTACGCTTTCCCACAGCGTTATTATGGTTATTTCCTGTGGTTATTACCACTGACAGATTTCTCCCTAGGTGTCAGGAGTGCTGTGAAGAGCCTCTTATGTGTGAGCACGCTTAACAAGCACCATGGGCTGCGGGCAGGAAAGGTGGTTTTCTCAGATGAAGGAACAAGACACTGAGAGAGGGAATGACACTTGCCTTTGGACTGTAACTTTCAGGTGCTTTGACAGCTGCAGGCTGCTTCTACATGCACTTGTCACCCAAGTCCTGTACACAGAGACTTTTTCGCTCACACGCTAGAATCCACTTTGTGTTATTGGCCTCACGTGAGGAACTACATAGCATGAGTAGAACATAGACAGAAACCCCAATCAGGACGAAAGAGCGTCATGGGTATATAGGGCTCAGCCCTTTGCATGAACGCTTGGCAATGCCTGAACAGGGCAAGTCTCCATCCAGGGATGGGCCAAAAGTTCTAACTGGAGAGTGAAGGCCCAAACCAGGCCCAGTGTGTAGCTTAGGCCCTGATGATGCTCCTGGTTGCTGGTCCTGAGCAGGTCCCAGTGGGGAAGCGCTCACTCCAGCCCCATAGGCCTAGTGCAGCACATGTTCACACCTCTGCCACAGACTGCATTGCTATCAAATCCAAGAGAACCACTTGGCCAGGTGGCTACTGTAAGGATGTTCTGGCTCTCAGGGCCCAGGGCTCACACAGACCCTCAAGGACCCAAGCAAGAGTCTCCTGCTATAGAAAGTATAGGCCCCAGACCTTGCTGGACCTGTGTTTGGAGGAGCAGGTCAGCAAATGGGAGCAGAAGGAATATACCTCCGAGTCTAAGACAGCTACATTTCAACCTAGGCTACCCCTACCCAACTCATAGATGTCACCAGAAGCCAGCAAATAAACCTGCCAGGAAACACATGGCTGATGTATGACAAAGAAGGCTGTTTGTTTTAGAAATTATAGAGATCTATGTGATCCCAACCTAACAGTAAACTGTTATTTATACCATTTAGCATTATATTAAAGTGTTTTTATGTTAAGAAAAGCCCGAGATATAATGAACAATGTCACTTGTGATATTTTCAGTGACACTGCCATTTTAGGAGCAACAATTCCCTCTACCCACTGGGCAAAGTCACCGTCCCTTTTTCATTCTGTTTCAAGACAAGGTCTTATGTAACGCAGCCTGGTCGTAAGCCCACTCTATTGCCAATGATAACCTTGAATTCCCGGTGCTCCTGCCTCCAGCTCAGGGCACTGCGATGGCAGGCATGTCCCACCATGCTCAGCCTAGGCTATGCTTTCTTCCTCCTCAGCCCCACAGACATGTGTGCCAAACCACTTCAGAGTTCAGGATAGTCAATGAGTGCCAGGCAGGAGGCAAGGAATTCTAAATTCAGGGCCAGGGAAACAAACAGAGGCCAGTGATTCCCCAGACAGATAGTACGATGGCAGTCTGTCATCCAGACATCACACCTGAGAAAGTGTGTCAGCCCTGGGGTTGGCTTTAGCAGACAGCGTGAAACAAACTAGGCTACCACACTACAACTACAACAACTACAAGACCCCAAGCCAAGTCCCTGTCTCTATTAGCCAAACCATAAGCTTAACCAGAACCAGTTTGGCTCTTAGTAGCTCTTTCTGATTCTTCTGAAGCCATTATCTTTACATAGCCCATGTGGGGTGCTAGCCACATACAGACAAGAGACCTTCACAGTAGCAGTAGGTCCCATATAGTAGAGGTCTCACATATAGGCAAGATGCTCCTGGCCAAAGGCTGAAGAAGCAGGTCACTGATAGCCAAGCTGGCCTAAAAGGGTGAACCTCTTTACAGCTGATCCATCACAGGCCCTCGTGGTCCATGTGTGTGAACCATGACCTGGCCTTCAGACAGTCTCCCAAGCTTTAGTGGAAGGAGGGTGGCAGGACGGGACTAGAAGAACTCTGACAGCAGAGAAGAGAGCACAGGCCTCTTTTCAGAACTACGAGATGGCTCGGAAGGTGTAGGTACAGGTTGAAACACAGAAAGAGAGCTGGGAGGGGCAACTGTGGTGGAGGTTGGCCTCTTTGGGATAAGATCCTAAAGCAGAAAGGCTTGGGCTGCACACAAAATCCTCTTCTCCCAGCTTTTAGCAACTTAAAATAGTTGAGAAGTCCCCAAATAGCCCTCTTCCCCGAAGAGAGTTGATGAGTCAACATCCCGGGGTTTCCTCCCTGCAGCTGTCAGGGGCCCTGTCGCTGGCTGCCTATTCCCACCTGTGCCGGTTTCTGCTCTTCACCGGGACGCCATCACCCGACACCTCTACAGACGCATTTCCTGAGCTGCTGCTGCTTCAGTTTCTGGGAAGAAACCAAAAGGACTCACTGCGCAATCGCTTGGAGTCTGGGCATCGAGCCGTGGCTTGTTACTGCGGGGCCCTGTTTCTGCTGTTGGCCGCTCTGTGTTTCGGAATGGTATGTGGATACCCCGATGCAGCCTAGACTTTAAAGTCAAAGTGTGTGAAGGTTGCATCTGCTATCAGGACAAAGTGGTCTCTGTCCACATAGACAGACAAGTAGAGACTGCGTTGGCCGAATCTCATGGGAACAGACCCTGCTTCCAGGATCTACCTGAACTGCCCTGAGACGGGGCTGAGGGCACAATCAGCTTGATTCTTCCTTCACTGAGAGCAGTCCAGCAAGACCACAGCTACTTCCGCTCAGGACACGGCCTTCCTGGCCTCCCACTTGGTGACTCACGTCTCTTCTCACCTTCAACTTGATCTCTGGCTGCCTCTCTTGAATCCCTTCTCTGTGAAGAGGGCACTTTTACAGCTGGTCTGCCCTTAAACTCTAAGCCGGCTTCACTGAATCATGGTCCTAGATAGCCCTTTCTGTCTTCCCTTGAATTCTAGCCACATTAGAAGCAGCTATACCAAGAGCTCTACCATCCCTGGGTGGCTCCTGGCACACAGTAATGCTCAATACAAGTAAATGGAATTGGTCAATGCTTTCTCAGTGACCTCAAACTCTTTGTTTCGTGAAGTTCTGCGTGTGCTCTCGTTGGTGGATTGTTACACTAGAAGTGGCTACGTATATGCTCGCACCCTGACAGCCCACAGGCTGGAGCTCTTAGCTCATTTCAATGGTCCACAATCCCCGCTCACTCCTTCCCGTTCATCCATCCATGCTTGATTCCTTCCTCAATCCTGACCACTTACACTCCCAGCTGCCCATCCCCCATCTGTTTACCCACGACTACACTCACTGGCCCACTCACCTAACTCTTTCCATCTATCCATTTTGTGTGTGTGTGTGTGTCTATGCATGTGTGTGTGTATGCGCGCGCACACATTTGGAGGCCAGAGGACAACTCTTAGTGTCATTCCTCAGAGACTGCCTTTCTTCCCCTTAAGAGAAAGCCTCCCATTGTCCTGGAACTTACCAGGTAAGCTATACTGGCAACCAGTAAAATCTAGGAACCCACCTGTCTCTTGTTTCCAAGCGCTAGAATTAAAACTGTGCATCAGGAGGTCCAATTTTGTTTAGGTTTGGTTAGATTTTTCAAGACAGGGTTTCTCTGTGTAGCCCTGCCTGTTCTGGAACTCATTCTGTAGACCAAGCTGCCCCTGAACTCAGAGATCTGCCTGCCTCTGCCTCCTGAGTGCTGGGTTTTAACACCTATAACCACACCAACTTCTTTGGTTGTTTAACCTGCCTTCTGTGCTTTGAAGCCAGCCCTCAGATGTGCAGGCCTGCTGTGTCTATCTGCCAGCTGTGTGTGCTCCCAGCTCTTGGTGTCCCCACACAATCCTGCCAAGGGTTGAAGGGATGATCAAGGGCGGGACACTTTTTAGAGATGTTTTGACATATTTCCGCATAGAAGCCCCTCACACTGTAGAACCCTGCCCCCCACACATACATGCAAGCTATAGTGGAGTCAGGCGATGGAAATCCAGAAGAAAGGGGGAAGGGAGGTCTTAGGGAGGGGTACTGACGTGCTCCTAGGGTGTGGCTCAGCAGCAGTAGGGGAAGGAGGCTCTGGGTCAGCGAGTTAGCAAGCTTTAGCTGCTGGGGCCTGTCAGCACAGCTTCTCCATTTCAATGGACAGACCACGTGAGGTTCTCCGAGGCGTCCAAAGCAGACAGGCTCTAAATGGCTAAAATTTTGCTTGTTTGAGCTGTTTTCCAAAATAAACGGGATGTGAGCTAACACATCTCAGTTGGCAGTGAGGAAATCAATAGCCCAGGGACTCCTATCTGGGGCACAGTGTTGGCTCCTCTTATTAGCACACACGAGGACGCGACAGTCTGCTGGGTCTCTGGTTCTCTTCCGTCTCCCAGACACCAGCCCACACTCCAGCTGAGGTGGTGTGCCCTGCACAGAAACACCTCCGTGAGACGACAGCAGTGTGCTTCAGGGTAAGATAGGCTCTCACTGCTGAGCTCAAACCAAAGTTCAACACCTGAGTGGCGTTTTCCTAATTTTGTTTTGCCAAGCTTCCTGAGAAGTCCTTCAGCATCAGCAGTGGATGTAATGTCCACTTCATAGTTTATCACATTGACAGTCATTCCATAGCTTGGTGACACAGAATTCTCTCTCTCTCTCTCTCTCTCTCTCTCTCTCTCTCTCTCTCTCTCTTCTCTCTCTCTCTCTCTCTCTCTCTCTCTCTCTCTCTCTCTCNTCTCTCTCTCTCTCTCTCTCTCTCTCTCTCTCTCTCTCTCTCTTCTCTCTCTCTCTCTCTCTCTCTCTCTCTCTCTCTCTCTCTCTCTCTCTCTCTTTCTCTTCCAGCTGAGGGCTTCCCTCCTGACTTTTTTCCGAAAAGGAAAGTCTTCTCAAAGAAAATCTCATGTGACACTTACAAATGTCGCTGTTTATGCATGGCATAAAGTCCTCGCCATTTTGGGACTGGAAACAACTCTGGAGGAGACTGAGGTGGCTACAGATCAGGTAAGCTGTGTGACCTTGGAGCAGGAAGCAGTGACACACTCAGGTTGTTGACACTACCATGCAGGCTTGCCTTCTGCTAGAAGAGCATCACTGTGGATCCATACCAATTATTACCGCAAAGGCTCAACCCTAGTGGATCTCGTAGACGCTCCCCTTGAAATACTAAAGAGGTCGCAGGGTTCGCGGACTCCGCCGCTGCTCACTACATCCTGTACTGTTGAAAACGTAGAGTCTCCAGGTTTTCCTTGAATTACTCACTTGCTTTTGGCGCTGGCTATCAGACCCAAACTTCTACCTAAATCATGGGGCCCTTGACACTTCGGCTTGGGCACTCCAGACACTAATACAAACAAGTCCAATCTAGGTATTTTCACAGTGACTTCTCAGCCGTCATCCGTGACCGCTGTGTATACAGAATTCCATGTGGCCCTGAAGCCCGCGAAAAGCAGTCATCGCACCATGTGTTTGGATAGGGCTTACTGCCCATCATGTGCCCATTATGACTTCAGATCCATTCAGTGGCCCTTTGTCAAAGCGTCATCGGTGGTAACACTTTATGAATGAAACAGTGTGTGCACAAACCATACATGAAGGAACCGAGGCCGACAGAAAGAAGCCGGCCCAGCATCCAAATCTTCTGGGTTCTTAATATCTTATAACAGGGAAAACTGTCTAAAGTTGACATCACTGAATAATTCAGATAATGAGGGCAAAACAAAAATTTTGCATTCTTGTATGCCTTTACCAATCTCATTTTCTTCCCCTAAGAATTATTACCTGGATGAATTTTCAAGCCTATTGGATGAACTTCTGCTAAAGATTGATGGTTTGTCTGAAAGCCTAGAACTCTCTAGCCTAGAAAACCAGTGGGGGAGGACAGTGGAGCCAAGGACAGAGGACAGTCCTCTCGTCGGCATTCCAGGGTACCATGCTACTGCGGTAAGACTACGCAAATTATTTTTTAACTTTCTACACGCAAATTTTATATTCTAAAGTTGGTTTGAAATCACAAGGTAGATTTGTATAAAACCCCTCTAATGTAAGAATACATTAGTGTGAAGATGTGCTTTGGCCAGAATTACTTAAATTATTTAAAATGTATGGCAAGACTTCAAGTTTCCAAGTAGTGCCGTGGATATCTATATGCCCCATCCTTTCCCATTCTAACTGTAATCAATAAAGGGACCGAGGCGCAGAAATGGAAAGCGCATCTCGCAGAGATGAGGGATGTCTGCTCACACAGAATGTGACGGGCAGTGCTAAACAGCCTGCTGATGAGCGCACTGAGGATTAGAACAGGGAGGAAAAGATGTGCATCTGGATGCTGCCGTGTGCAAGAGCATGCACGGGGCTCCAGATTGGTACATCCGGAGCTGCCAATCAAAGGCGAGGGCAAAGGAACATTATCTAAAAGCAATTGCCACAGAAGAGTGACTACTGCAAGCAAGGCATTCTCTCATGAAAAATAGTGAAGAAAATTATTATTTCAAAGTGGAGTACAAAGCTAAGAAGAAATAGCGCAAAGATGAAAAAAAAAAAAAAAAAAAAGAACAAGGTCCCCTGGGCAGTGGTAGCATGTGCCTTTAATCCCAGCACTCGCGAGGCAGAGGCTCTCGAGTTCAAGTGAATCTCAGTGAGTTCAAGGCCAGCCTGATCTATAGAGCAAGTTCCAGGACAGCCAGGACTACCCAGAGAAACCCTGTCTTGAAAAAACAAAAAACAAAAGACAAAGTTGATGCGAAAGAAGAAAGAAGTTTCTCTATATCCACAGACATAGAGAAATGCATTTCTATACACAGTAAAGAGAAGAATAAGAATAGATTTGCATGAAAATGAGCAAAGAGTGAGGGCCTGAGAAAACTCAGCAAAAGTAATTTTTTAAAAAAAAAAGGTTAAAATTTATTTTAGGAATAATAATGTACAGAGAAATCTGAAAAGGAGAATAAGTCAGAGAGAGGGTAAGGATTCAGGTCTATACAGATGTTTCTCCACTGACAATGGGGCTCCATCCCAAAATACCTACTATAACTTGAAATGGTGCACAGAGAGGCATTTGATCCACCAGGACTGCCGAGCAGCAGAATAAGCAACACAGCGTGGCACAGGACCAAGTCTCAGTAGAACTAGTCAGGGTCTGTGATGCTTTATGGCCTCTATAGAAAGTGCCATTGTTTCTGAAAAGATCTATCTATCTATCTATCTATCTATCTATCTATCTATCTATCTATCTATCATCTATCTATCTCTCATTCTATCTATGTATCTACCATCCATTTATCACCGGTCTTTATGTGTATGTGTGTGCTTGCATGAGTTTATGTGCACTGGTGCACATGGAGACCAGAATAGGGCATGGCTAGTCAGATCCTGCGGAACTGTAACTTAGAGGCACTTGGGAGCCACTAAATGCTGGTGCTGAGAAATGAACCGGAGTCCTTTGCAAGGGTAGTGCTACCTTTTAATCTTTGAACTCTGAGCCATCACCTTAACACTGAAAAATTGTACTTTCAATTATTATAAGTCAGGGACTATTCATTCACATATCCAAAAAGGAACTCATATCCCAGGGTTTAAAAAAAGTGGATTTAGATCTCTTTAAACTAGGGTAAATGTTAAGACACTAGACTTAAAGTAAGAATGTCATTCTTTTGCTGACGAGATAGCGTCACGGGCTGCTTCTACATGGTTTAAAAAGCTCCACTTTACGATTATTATTCTAATTACTAAAGTGATCCAAAGGTTCATCTCAGTGGTACACACGAAAGGAAAAGCATAATTTTTGAGAATAAGAAATAGAATGGTCAACCGCATGACACACTTAAAAAGCCAGAATGCACATATGCAGAGAGAAAGAACAAGAGGTTCCCACAGCCTCTGTAACATGAAAAAACTGAAAAGTTTATAGTAAACTGTCAGAGCAGGAAGAGAACCATGCGAATGTCCATGCCGTGAGATCTGAGGAAAATAAGGGTAGAACCGGGCTGGCCTGTTCTAGCAAATCAGTACTTCCAGGAACAGCTGATTGAGGGGAAACCGTCTATATTCAACCCAGTTCAGCAGCAAAATTTGCATGCACTCAGCAAAGCAGGAGGGTGGGAATGGTCAACATGAGGCGCAACTGAGCGGAGCCAGCAGCAAGACAAAGTGGCTCTTTCGAGGTGACCTTGTAAGCCGTCAGCTGTCCTACAGCGAAGTACGTGGGTGACGGCGGATGCAAGTGTATACAATACAAAGGGAAAATAGGAAACACATTTGGGGACATTGAGTGAGTGACAAAATCTTAGGGAAGACAAGATGGCTGTATATAACCCCACACAGCGAAATTGACCAGAAAAGAGAGGGAGGTGAAGCAGAGTTGGGATGGGCACCCTTGAAACCACAAGCCAGATGTGGCCCAAGTAAAAGTCATGCTCCTATGGAAAAGCCAAGCCCAGGGTGCCTGCAAACTGTTCCTCGACACACGGAAGAAACCTTTCAAATGTGTTGTCTTAGAACAAGAAATACATTGATTAAAAACTATAGCAAGATATCCCAAACTTCAAAAACCTACCAGCTGTACTGATTTTGACACCAAAAACCATCTACATAAACACTAGCAAGCAAGATCCAGCATCAGACTAAAAGAACAATATCCCATGATTATGAGTTTTAAATTAAGATTACTTTTTTTGTATTAAAAATATATTAACACCCCTTCACCAAAACAAGAGTAAAATATCATTTGACTCACTACATCTGTTTTTAGTGAAATTCAGTGTCTCTTCCTAATGTCTAAAGCCCTCTTTTAAAAGGGATTGACCCTTTTAAAGAAGGTATCTCTGTGGATACAGACAGACACTGGGCCTCAAGCTGCGGACCTCAAGTGCGCTTGAGGGTTTGTTTTTTTTTTTTAACAGTTGAGGCAAGAACTCTAGGCAGAGCTGCATCTCCAGCTCTCACTGGAGCTTTGCTAAGACATAAATCTCCTCCCACTGTCCCCTGTAAGTACACTTATGGACATCAATGTCATGACTCTAAGGGCCAGAATCGCCAAGTGTGTCTGAGGAGTTTCCATATGCATGATGCGAGCCCTTCCGTATTCTCTATGCATCAGACTCCGTGCTGGTTTCCTAACACTCTGCCGTATTCATGCCAGAGACTGCAAAGACTCATACTTGTAATCTGTGCCCCAAGGACAAGCTGTTCTTGTGTGACATGAAGTGCTTGGCACTACCACAATCATCAATTTTACTCCCCTCCCACGGGAAAACGCAATTGTTTTCTGAACAGGCACTTTATGAAGCATTTATCAAAAGCGTATTACACACAAGCCACAGTAGCTGGGTTTGCCAGCGCCTGTAGCACCCAGGTTCCGCAGCACGAGTTAGCTGTCCTTCTGGGAAAAAGCTGGGTGTCAGTGGTCCCCGAGCAGGCCAAGCCCAACTGGGTTTGCAGAACAGACTCCCCTTTGTGTGATGGAAACCAAGAACAGGACCCATTTGATTTTCCTAACTCCGGGGCAGTTGTTTTTCATCTTAACCAATAATAATTAAGATTGGTATCGCTCTAAAAAAGCAGGCGAGGCTGCCCGGAGCTATCACTAACCACCTGCAAGCTGCATTGTTCTTTGTGCTCAAGTGACTCAGAGCACCAGAACGCTGTGGCTGCCAGGCCCACCGCCTCTTCTCGCCCCTGGCTCATTGCTCATTCTGTGATTCTTGGCTCTCCCTTGCCTTTTAGCTACCTCCACCTACAGTCAAAGGAAAGTTCTTGCTTCGCTTCTTGTTGTGGTCCAGGGCCCTGGCCACTCTGTGTGCCCCTTCTCTGCAGATGCTAGCCAGGCCTGAGTACACAGGGGCAATTGGGAGATGCTATGGGGGTTTTGCCCCATAAGATTTCCTCTCGACTTGGCTTTTGTGATGCAGTTCAGTCAGGGAGAGTCAGCCAGAAGGGGACACTTTATCTCAGGACACAGTTGATCGACTCAAGTGGGGCACATGCAGCTCCTCCACAGAGCACCTGTCAATCACACATAAGACCCTGGCTCCCATTCCTAACACAAAATATTTTTTGTTTTGTTTTGTTTGTTTTTTCGAGACAGGGTTTCTCTGTAGCTTTTGGAGCCTGTCCTGGAACTGGCTCTTATAGACCAGGTTGGCCTCAAACTCACAGAGATCTATCTGCCTGCCTCTGCCTCCCGAGTGCTGGGATTAAAGGCGTGTGCCACCACTGCCCGGCTCAACACAGAATATTTTTTAAGTGTAATTACTTAATCTCCTTCTGCCAGGAAGGAAGAAGAGAAGTTTTTGTAGGTGGAAAATTTAGGTTAATGTTCTGCATCTGGGGAATGCAGCGCAGGCCTCCTGTGCTTGCAGAGAAACATCCTGTGCAGAGGCCAGAGGCTCTGCTTTTGGGCAGGTTTGAACTATGCACTTGAATTCTGAAGCTCGCCGTTCATTTCTTGCTGTTCTTTCCTTTCCTTTGCCAGTTTGTGAGGTACCATGGGGATAATTTAGAGCACCCAGCTTCACAGTGAGCCTCTGTCTAGACCAGCGCTTCTCAACCTGTGGGTCATGACCCCACATGTCAGATATTTGTGTTATGATTCATATCAGTAACAAAAATGCAGCTATGAGGTAGCAACAAACTAATTTTATGGTTGGGGGTCACCACAGCCTGAGGAACTATATGAAAGGGTCACAGCCTTCAGAAGGTTGGGTGTCACTGATAGACTTGGTGCTTATAGCTGGCATCCGCAACACTACCCTTCGGTCATGTGGTACTATCTTACTGATGCGGGGGGGGGGGGGGGTAAGGTAATTTAACACACTGAGCTGGAATTCTGGAGGGTGAGGCAGGCTGTGCTTCAAGTAAATCCACCCCAGCCCTCACACGAGGAAAGCAGAGGGCCCTGAATGGTCCTGCTCCTTCTGGTGTGGGCATAGAAGTCTCAAGGTCCCCACCACTGAGCTCCTGTTGACAGTGATTCATTTCTAACTACAGAGGGGCCTCTGGGTGCAGAGTGCAGCCTCGTACCACGTGCCCTCCCTAAAACAAAGGGCACTGTGTCATTGGCAAACGAAGTTAATATATGAACATATTCTTCTTTCTCTGTATGGGCTTAATCTATACTACCAAAAACAGGCGTCAAGGTTCATGAGTGTGCCTGTCACCACTCTGGGCACTAAGGAGGCAATGGCGAGCAACACTAAACAGCAGAAAATCTCAGAAAGATGAGCAAGAATCTGGCAACCTTTGTGCCCATTTAGCTCTGGGTACGATGGGCTTCTTCCATGAAATGGAAAGGGGCCACGAACAGTGCATTCACTAATGAAAGTGAGAGGCTCCCCGAGGAATGCACCCCGCCATTCCCAGGAGATGTTTAACAAGCCAGGAGCGGCTGTGTTCTGGGACTCAAGTAAAAATGATCTTCCTGTCTGTCTCTGCCTGCGCTGAGAGAGTTACATCACAATCTGTGTCTTCTCTACTCCTGGAGGCACACAGTAAATGCTTAGCAAACTGATTATCAAGCAGAAAGTGATGGACAAAGCCTATGGCTAAAAAGAACCAAAAGCTAAGCCAAACAGGGCAAAGGTTGATGGAGAACTCCAAGGGCAGGGTTTGTGAGCACTTTGGGGTTTTTCTTATGTTTTTTTTTTCTAAGTTTGAAACAATTTTCCACTGAAAAGCTTTTTGAAAGAGTCTCTTGTGTTGCTCAAGCCCGGGGACCGCACAAGGACAGGGTCACCATGGTGCCCAATAGATTTAATAGTTCTTAGAAGACATTTTTTTCCCTTAAGCTTTTCTTTGTTTTTAAGTATATCTTGGTATTTTTCCCCCCTTGGCTGGACATCACAAGAAAAGCTCGTTAAACTTAATAGAACTGCTTAGATGTGATTTACGACTATTGGGTGTATCAGGAGTGCAAGAAACGTAAAACTCAGCCATCGATGCTGAAGCGGAGAGCCTTCCAAGATAAGAATTCTCAGCTTCCACACTGTGTCTGCTGCAGTGGCTGCACAGGGAGAAACATTCTGCAGCTCCTGATTTATCCCCCTTCTGGCACGCAAGCGCCAGCGAAGTTGAAATATTGGTACGCACGCCCCCTTTCTTCGGATGCGTGCTAGCTAGCCTAGCATTCGTGACATTGGAGATAAACCAGGACTTCTGTGTCACTGCGAGCATGGAATTTATTTAAAAAAACGACATTCTCTGTAGTGGGGGGTGGGCCACAAGACTGGAGTCTTTGCATTTTCCAGGATTAGAATGTATTATGAACCAGCTGCTTTTCTGAAGCAGTTTTTGTCTCATTGGCTTAGAGCAAACTTCAATAACGATTGTCCCTAAATGCTAGATAAAGGGGCTGTATTAGTTCACTGGAGTGAGGTAACAAATATCACTGTCAGAAATATGACATCTCACAGTCTGAAGACTGAGGTCCATGGCTCAGATGGAAAGAGCTTGCTGGACTTTTCCCCCAGCTTCTGGACACTCCATGGCTTGGGGCAACCTCGTTCTAATGGATATCCCTCCTCTCTTGTCTGTGTTTCTCCATGGTCAGGTTTTCTCTTTACGTAAAGACACGTAAAGTGTGCTGGATTAGAGCCCACTGTGATGAACGCATCTCACTTCCCACAAAAGCCATAATTTCTGGGCACTGAAGATTAGCACATCAACATTTTCTCTTTTTGGGGAGAAAATAGCCCATCACAAACATTTATGCCATGTAAATTTCTGAGACAAGGTTCACACGGTTTCACATTAATTCTGCTATTCCTAGAAATTCCGCCTCTTGGATAAAAGTAAAGTGAAATACTCAAATACTTTTTTCACTTTCTCCTTTTAGTCTGTAGAGCTAATATAAAAGTGATGCTTGGGACCCACAAAGAATCTTGGTGGGTAAAGGAACCTGCGACCAAGCCAGGCAACCTGAGCTCAGTCTCTGACTTCTCAAGGAGAGAACCTACTCCTGCAGGTTGTCCTCTGACCTCCACACTTAAGATGGTCCATGAGCATACATGTGCATTCAGCACACACCCCCATGTATCCATAAACACAATCATGTATATACATATATATATACACACGTGCTCACACACATGCACTCACATGCATACACTACACTCACACACATATATAGAAGCAAAAATTTTTTTAAACAGGGAATATTTAAGCTCTAGTACTTGATATGAGAAGCTGATCATCTCAGTTTTGTCGTCCCCCCCCCATCAGACTGTGCAATACCCAAAGATTAATTTCTTCCACTAAAGTGACAATTTCAAATAGGAATACAGTGGTCTTTTCCCTAAGCACTGCGTGGTTGCCAAAGACTATCCACAGGGCCACAAAAGTAACAGAAAACAGGGATGTACATTGGTGGCCTGTGAGGCAGGGATCCTTGTAGATCATGTGGGAACCCCCTAAGGCTCACCTCAGCCATGTCACCAACACAACACCGGTGGGAAAACACAGACTCCATGTCTCTAGCAGTTTGGCAGCCAGTGTCCCTAACAGTAAACAATGCCCCAGGAGCTTCTGCATTAATGTCACCACTAACAGGCATGCCCAAAGCTATCTGCTATCCAATGGCAAGATGGTGGTTATTTCGTTTCAAGCAGGATCAAGGAAAAGGAAAACTGGAGCAGTTTCAAGGGTTTCTATGGTACAGAGGTCATCCTGCCTCCCATTGGGTTTGCCTCAAGTGGAAGATAGAGACTCCGGGTTGCAGGTAGCATGTGAGGGCCTCCCATAGCCATGTCACCAATCACCGTGAGGATGCCATGATGTTTTTATCTACTGTTGAGACTTTGGGAAAATGTAGAATAAAGTTGTACAAACTGATTCTGGCCAGCAGTCTCCTTGACTTCTCTCACTACTATAGGTTTTACTTACAGTACAAGAAGTTAAAATTATGAACACACTAGCTCTTGTCCTTGATCAAGGTGTGGCCTCAGAAAGCCTTTCTTTGTAGTAGGTGTGCCTTGAGTAGTTTTCCAGACATTTGTGGTCATAAGGCCTCTCTCTTGTAGTCTCTCCTTGTATCCTTGCAAAAACTTGTGGTATTTTCCCCATCAGCCTGGTCCTGCTGCCTGGCAAGAGTAAGAAAACTAGATCAGAAAGTTCAGGAATGTGTGCAGACCTTTGAAACACACATCAACATCCTTTGCCTGTAGGGCCCAATTCTCCTGTTTTGAAACCTCTGGATGACACAATTTGTGACTCGTACAAGTAGCTACTGATTCCTAGGATGCTGAGTCATAGTCAAGAGGGAGGAATCCGGTGCCTGGCGCAGGAAGGAGCTGCACTTTACATAACCACAGTAATAAATACTGTGTGACAATGGCAGAGGGGATGACACAGGTCCCAGAAGTCAACTCACACAAATGTACCAATATTCTTTTTAAATGTTTATTATTTTATTTTATGTGAACACATGTGCGCCTGTGTGTGTGCAGTACCCACAGAGGCCAGAAGAGGGCATTGGATCCCCCAGAACTGGAGTACCAAATGATTCTAAGTGGCCATGTAGATGCTGAAGAGAACAAACCCTGACTGGTACCAGCAAGAAGTATTCATAGGGAGGGCTATGTATTAACTGAGAAATTAATTTAAAATATTCATGATTTTCCCGGCAGACAAGAGAATGGCAGTAAAGACAAGACTATCCTAGACATCAGGTTTCTCCAGCTCCCGGCCATCTTCTTCGCAGCTGTGTTTGCAAGGTGAACACTCCACACAAGATACCTGCTGAGCCCAGCTTCCAGCCATCCTGAGCTGCTCGTTGCTTGTGAGATTCCGGCCTCACTGTGACCCTGAAACATGTGTTTCCATGCTACCAAGCTCTTGGGCATGGGAGGGAAGGCAGAGGTTTCTGCTTTCAGATCCTGTAAGCTGGAGTCCTTCTGGAAGCTTCAGAACCCTGAATTCTACAAGATCACAGTAATGTGCCTATATCTGTAAGCAGTGTCTCCTCCACAGCCACAGGCAGGATGTGTGGCGAGGACAAGCTCACCCAGACACAGAGACAAAACCTGCTTGAACTGTAAGCCACGTTCATGACGTCATGGTTGCGTGAGCAAAGACTTGCTCCTTAACAGCACAATACGCACTTCCATATATTTTTTGCTGTGAAATGCTCAGGCAGACTGTGTCCTATAGATACATTGGCATAGGAAACTCAGCCAGCCAGTGGCTGCAGAGAATGTTATGTGTATATTACCAGCATAAACTGCCTTTATGATTTGAACTGATGGGCGCTCCTGGATAGAATGTGTACCCCATCTGCCTTGCTAGGAAAACACTGGCAAAGTGTCTGCTGTCAGCAAGGTCTAATTCCCATTCTTTCTGGATGTACATTTTGTCAATGAGCCCCAAAATAAATGGAAACATTTGTGCTGAGGCGAGATCATGGTCTATTTTGGGTACACTTGGGTTCTTCATTGACCTGAGGCTAGGAAAGAATATGTTTTCAAAGACTTGAGATTCTCTCCTCAGGACAAGATGTCCTGATTTCATCATTTGGGGAGAACGTCTTCATTCAGCATCTTTTGCTGTTGTTAAAGTGAGGTCATAACTGTTATTCAGTAAAAATTCTTCCCCAGATCTTAAGTCTGGCCTTGTATTCAGGGTCGGTCTGCTTCAAGAAGACAAGGGCCTTGGAAATAAAAGGAAGGGCTTGAGTCCTGGGAGTTCCACAGGGTCAGAGGCCTACGTTACAAGACAGAGGCCAATCCCGAAATGAAAGTCTTGTTACACATTAGCAATGTGGTGGCCCATCTCCATTGCAGACTGATAAACACTGAGCACCAATAAATCCGCACCTACAGTTTTCTTCCTGCAACAGACATGGGTTCTCTCTTGAACTGGATCCACCTGGTATCTTGACAGTGTCCCCTGTTTCTGACATCTCCAACTGGGATAGACATTGCAACTTGAATTTCACCTCTGCAGCTTCACACAGTGACCTCTCTTGACCTCTTCTCTGCAGGAACTCTGACCTTGCTATGCATTGCCTGGCCTTGCCAGCTTTTCCTGAATCCTCATCGCAAGGCTGTGAGACCCTGAAACTCTTACTTTCTACATCTCTGCAAAGCTAGCAGTGGGCAAACAATACCAGGCTGTGCTTCCAGCTTAAGGCCTGGCCTGGTCCCCTGGGGCCACAGCCACAGCAACCACTGAGCTACCTGTGGTGGTCCATTTAAGCTGGTGTGCCCTGGAGGAGGCTCTATCTTCTCGGGAATTCTCCTTAGATGGAAGTATTTAGATTAGGTTTTCAGTTTTACACTGAGAGTCTTCCAAGTGTGAGATGGGCCGTCAAGGCTCCTTTGGTTTTGTCCTGGTGCAAAATGAACTGTCTCTCTTCAATGGGACTATTCTCTTTCATAATTACAATGTCTTTGTTGGCACTCACCTGATCTTAAACCTTAGATATATTCATACTTCTTGGACAAATTACATATCATTCACATCTTTCTGCTCTGCTTCTTGCTTTAAATTCTCACCATAACTCAGATCAAACACACTGAGCAGTAACCGTTCCATTGACCCAATACTTTGCTGTTTTGAATTTCCTCCATCAATTACTTCTGAATTTAGCTTCATGCAAATGTCACAATGTGAGCGCTATGTAGCCAGATTCTTTGCCAGGGTGTGAAATGGTGGCCTCTCTTTTGATTTCTAGTAGAGTCCCTGCTTCCCTCTGAAGTCCCATGAGCCTGGCCTTTACTTTTGCAAACCTATTTCTTTGTGGTATTCTTCACTCTTATCAAATGGCCAGCTAGTCTTTGCTTACAACATTTTATGTCTTTTATTTTTATTTTATAGTCTGGCCACAGTTTCCCCCTTTTCTCTCCTCCCAGCCCTTTCCCCCACCCTCCTCTGTTCTCACTCCCCAATCCACTCCTCCATTTCTGTTCAGGAAAGGGCAGGTCTCCCATGAATATCAACAAAACACAGCATATCAAGTTGCAATAAGACTAGGCACTGTCCCATGTATGAAGATGGGGAAAGGCAACCCAGTATGAGTAATAGGGTCCCAAAATCCAGTAAAAGAGTTAGGAGTCCCATAAGAGGACCAAGCTACACAATTGTCACATATATGCAGAGGGCCTAGGTCAGTTCCATGCAGGCTCCCTGGTTGTTGGTTCAGTCCCTGTGAGCTCCTGTGAGCCCCTATTAGCCCAGGTTAGTTGATTCTTTGCATTTGGTGGTGTCCTTGACTGCTTTGGCTCCTATAATTTCCCCCCTCCTGGATTTCTAATTAATGTTTGGTTGTGGGTCTGCATCTGTTTCTATCAGTTGCTGGATGAAGCCTCTCTGATGACAACTGGACTAGGCACCCACCTATGAGCATAGCAGAATATTGTTAGGCATCTTTACATTGTCTTTTTTTCTCCATTAATTGTATTTCTTTTCTAATCTGTAACTCCAAACTCTTCCACATTCCTACCACCAATCTGTTCTTTTTTAATTTTTCAAGTGAAGAAAAAATAGACACATTAAATGTACTATTGCTATTTCCTATAGTATTCAATTTTTAATTGGACAAAGTTCTTTAAGACACAATTTACAAGGCTTTAGAATTTATAGAGATCTACAAGTCAAGGGTTTACATTTCTGATAAAATTTGGGATATAATTATATATAAATATAACCAGAGAGTTAAGACCATTTACATTTAGGAATATTATTGAGATTCATTAATTCGTGTGTCTTGGTTATTTTCTATTTGGTTGGATATTTTTTTTCTTTCTTTCTTCTATCAGGGATTGGCTGCACTGGATGCAATCGATTCTTTCTTGATTCTCTTGTATTCATCTTTTATCCTCATGAAGTTTATTCTGTTTTAAACTCTCATGGTGATGCTGTCTCCCTTCCTTTACCATGTATGCTGTCCACCGTGTACGTTGTCTACCATGTATGCTGTCCACCTTGTACGTTGTCCACTGTGTATGCTGTCCACCATGTATGCTGTCCACCATGTATGCTGTTTACCATGTATGCTGTTCACCTTGTATGTTGTCCACCATGTATGCTGTCCACCTTGTATGTTGTCCACCGTGTATGCTGTCCACCTTGTATGTTGTCCACCGTGTATGCTGTCCACCTTGTATGTTGTCCACCGTGTATGCTGTCCACCTTGTATGTTGTCCACTGTGTATGCTGTCCACTGTGTATGCTGTCCACAGTGTATTCTGTCCACTGTGTATGCTGTTAACTGTGTGTGCTGTCCCTTTAAGCACCATCTGCAGAGCTGGTTTGGCAGTCACCAACTGATTCAATCTGTGCTTCTCTTGCACTATCTGATTTCTCCATCAATTTTAAGAGACAGCTTTGCTGAACACAGCAATCTGAGTGGACAATTGTTTACATTCAGCGCTTGAACTATTTCCTGGCTCCTGGGGTTGCTAATGATGGTATTCTAGTGTATTTGCTACTTGGCATGCTTCTTTACAGATTTTAATTCTCTCTCTCTCTCTCCCTCCCTCCATCCCTCCCTCCCTCTTTGTAATTTTGGCATCTTGACTATAGTGGAATAGAGATCCTTCTCTGGCAGGCCCATTTGAGGTTCTAAATGCACCTTCTACTTATATGTCCAATTCTTTCCCTGGATTTAGGAGGTTCCTGCTACAGGATCACTAAACCAGTTTTCCATGCCTTTTGTTTTTATCTCTGTTCCATTAATTCTGTGAAATCTTCTTTTAATATATTATTTAAATCGCTGCTTGGCCAATCACTTAAGCTTATTGCTAGTTAGCTCTTATATCTAAAATTAACCTATTTCCATTATTTTATATTTTATTACAAGGCTGGTGGCCTACTGGCAAGGTTCCTGAATGTCTATCTCCGGTGTTAGCTCCATGGCTTCTCTCAACTCTGCCTTCCTTCTTTCAGCATTCAGTTTAGTTTTCCCTGCATAGCTCTGCTCTACCCTATCACACGCACAAAACAGCTTCTTTATTAACCAATGGTATTCACGGCATACAGAGGGGAATCCCACATCACCTCCATTTTTCTTTTTAAATACAAAGGATGGTTTTAACTTTAACATAGTAAAATTACATATAACAAAACAGTTAACAAGCAAGAATTATGCTTACAATATTTATGTCTTTTATCATTACTCAGGAAAACTATAACTATCTATTCTTCAACTCCATCAAAGATCCCAGAAGAATATATTACCTAAGTTAACAGAAGTTCATTGTAAGCAACTTCCAAAACTCTAGAATTGACAGAGACATCTTGCTGCCTGTACCCAAAGTTCTTCTGTAACATGAGAACATCCATCTTCAGCCTACAGGCCCATAGTATCCAGTAGACATTTCCATGAAGCAGGAAATTTCAAAGACAGTTCTGCCTATATTGACAGTTTGTCAGACACTTTCTTCTGTGTCCTGCAGAATGTCTGACAGACTCATGAAATAGGGACCCCCCAACAGACTGTCTCACCTTTAGGCAAGATCAGCAGTCATTTCTCTGTGGGTCCTGCATGTCCAGTTCATCCAACAGTCCAGGCAAGAGCAGTTTCTTGCCCAAATGTCTAACAAACTCTATGAAGAGCCTCTCTGATGCTCATCATCATCCTCAAATAGATTGGTGCTGCCAGGAGCAGATGTGTCTCATTGTCAAAAAAAAGTACTAAGTTTTTAAAACATTTTAAATGCCATATTGTAAAGGTCTCTGAAAGATTTGAAGAATACCTATCTAACTGAACTATATCTCTATATATCTAGAAAACCTAATTAACATGACTACAAGCTTTACTATTATAGATGACTATCTATTAACCTATATTTCTTAGTTATACATTACATTTTTAATTGAACTGGACAAACACAATACCTTAGTCAAGACCAGAAATATACATATAATAAAATTGACCTTAAATTTGTATCAATAAAGCAAGATCCATACCAATGCAAATCTCTATAGGATATCCCCCTTTAAATGTAAACATTTATAAATAATTATTTAGGAAATTTGGGTGTAGTTCTCTCCAAACTGCTTCTTGCTTTTTGTTGGGCAAAGTAATTTTGAGGGGTGTTCACAGCAACCTTGCAGGGAGTATTGCTTCATCAAACTCCATTAATCTGGAATTAATCCCATAGGTTCTCATCTTCTCTGGAAACAAAAGCAGAACATCTTTTCCAAAGCAAAATATCTTAGACTCAAATTTTGAAGTTAAGAAACCTTTAAAACATGTATGTTGGTTTAGCTCTTAGTCCCCAGAATCAAATGTCTCTCTGCAGTCAAAAAATTCAAAGAAAACACAATAATAAACATATCCAGACTTTCTGTGTATATTTCATATTTATGTGGCTTAT